TCTCTCTCTCTCTCTCTCTCTCTCTCTCTCTCTCTCTCTCTCTTGCGATCTTGTCCATCCTCTTGTATGCATCCATTGGTTTCGTTGCAGAATTTCATTTTCTCGCAAGAAATTCAAAACTCAAATTATCTTGTTCAGTTGAAATAAAAAAAAAATGCTGCAACACGATAAGTTCACACATATTTTTGACGAATGACTGTATAATTCATGATCTCATATGGTAGTTGATTCACTGGGCCCCACCTTTTGCGGTTTTGGTTACGCAGCAATAAAAAAATGAAAAAAACACTGTAAACAACCATAGTTTATGGAAAACATATGGGTTTATTTGAAAATGGTTTGTATTTTGGTGAAAAGTTTTGAGCGAATCTGAAGATTTCTTTTCTTTTCTACAGAATAATCTGATTTTCAGCAGGATGCAACGCATAAATTCGCTGAAATCAGGAAAAGAAGTGTCAGGTGTGACAAATGAGCAATGACCTAGTCTGCAAAGTGATATTTTGTGTTCGGTTTCACTTTCGCAATATGCTCTTTTGTTCATATCTTTACATAATTTAATTTCATTTTCTCTTGAGAATATTTGAAGCGATTCCAGCCCAATTTCATATCACATTTAATATTCATTCTGTGAATGTATATTTCTCTATCTATCTCTTCCCCCAAAACATAAAACAGCGTACACGATTATTTTTCAAGCACTTAAACATTCATTAAGCGATAAACAACCATAATTTTCGCATTGAAGTTTGTTTTGTTTACGTGATTCGAATGTGCCGAAAAAAAAACGAAATAATATATACATAATACTATATAGCCTACATGGGATGACTCATTCACGTTGAATCGTGTGATTCATAGCGTATGAAAAGCGCAAGAGCAGACCGTAACGCGCTTTTACCATTTATTGCTGCATGTTTGAATATGGAAACGGGGAGACGGTGTTGCTTGAGCAACAAATTATATGTGTGTGGGGTCGCAAAGCCGCTTGAATTGCAAAGCATTTGAACGAAAAGTCGAGAGTAGAGAAGAAAAAAAAATGCGGATAATGCCTTCTTTGGTGGAATACACTGTGTATAAAAAGTTTTTCGATTATGTTAATCTCACACCACTTTTATTCTATGCCAATGCCGTCGTCGTCGTCGTCGTCGTCGTCGTCGTCGTCGTCGATGACTCATTCGGAAAACCGTTGCTTTCATTTCCATCTGTATATTAAAATGCCTATCTAGGAAATGGAATGAACAAGGAGCATCGAATATGTACGAGAACAGAATGCTCGTGTCAACTTCAATCAACCATAACATTTGAATGAATCATGCGAAATAAATAAAACTCTAGGGTCATCGATTTATTGCTGTGTATTTTCTTTTCCCTCATGTTTTAAAAATAAAATAGATTTATTTGTTTCCCGTTGGTAATTTTAAACAATATTCAATATTGATATTAAGTTCGGACTTTCGTCGATTTATCTGTTTTAACAATGCCAATTTTTTGCTAACATCATTACTTGATTCTAACTCATATAACGTACATAAATTTAAGATAAGGCTTTCGCTAAGGTCTTTTTGCTCGATGGCTGTTATTGCGCGCTCAAATAGGCTAATCGCATCCTTTTGTTTACCCAAATACAATAAACATACAGCCATATTATTTAGGACGAGCGCATTTGTTGGTTCGATAGCTAATGATTTTTGGAAGAACGCATATGCCTCTTTGAAATCATTTTGGGCAACCGCTATTAAACCACGATCGATAAAGTCTCGCGTTTCCGATTCCGTTGTGTTTGTCACGCGAATACGTCTGGCTTCGGAAAATTTTCGTTCAGCACCAAATACATCACCACATTGCAAATAAATTCGACCCCATGACGAGTACAGTGAGCGCATTCCATCTGCATCGATTCCTTTCATTGTTGTTAAACGTTCCATGAGATAATCAGCCAAACTGAAATCTTTTGTCTGCAAAATGAAATAAAAATGAGTTTTGAATGTTTAGTAAAATGGTTTGACTTTGTGGAAAATCCTTATTGAGAATGAATGACAACAAAAAGGCTTCAATTAAATTGACGAAAGCCAAAAAGCACAGCCAATTCGAATGAATTTATCGTGATTCGCGCAATGCGTTTCGCTTCATGTAACTCCAACAAATTTAGTTCATTAAATCTTGATTAGATCTTGATCAAACCCACACGGCGTCAATTAAAATTACATTCCAAAGTGAAATTTGCTAATTAGTCAATCATTCATTCTCCGTATTATTTTTTTTTTGTTTGCAAATCAACAAGTTTTTCTAAATAAAAATAGGCCGTACCGCAAGAGCACAGTTTATAAGTTCGTGCAGAATAGTTTGTTCACGTTTTAACCAAAATGTTTCGGCTTTTCCATTTGATTCGGTCGCATATGTTTCTTTAGTTTTGGTTGCCACAAGAAGCATATCGGTGAGTCGATCTAATGCGACTTTGTGTGATCCCAAATAAGAAGGTAATTTTGCGATTAGCAAACGGAATGCAAATGAAGCCATCGATCCTTTGCGATTATTATAGGTATCTGGATAAAACTGTAATGAAAAATCATTAAATATCAAATTGGAACGAAAAATTCAACATTCGAAATACAAACCTCATAGTACATATCGGGTCGTTCCAATAGACCAAATGCTTCAGATTCTCGTTTACATAAATCATATTCACCGAGTTTGATGAGCAATGAAAGTCGAGTAAACCATAGCTGCAATGAATGTGGAGTATGTCTCGTTGGTTGACCAGCACGTCCAAAACCTTGTCCGTACGTTGTTAGACAACGAAATGTCAAATTTGCCGCAGCTCGAATCGAACCAGCTGCAATTAGTTTTTTTATACCGCTTACATCTTCACTCACATCCGATATCGTCAACGATTGACGCTCATTTGCTTCCGTTTCACCAAGTAAATAGATTATAGCTGCTTTCACCGGATCATCCTGATTTATATCAACAATTAAGAAAAAAAGACATTTAATTTGATTGGAATAATTGCAACTTTCCGAGAACTTTTCCGAAAAAGAAATTTTTTTTATAGAATAAAGAACGACTGAAACACTTTGAAGTGAAAAATAATGGCAACAAATATTGAAAAAATATGTCATGAGATTATTAGATTCAGATGAAGAAAGATTGAAATTGGAACTTTTAATTTTTATGATACCAGTACTACTGGTCCAGTAGTGAATGTTTTTGCTATTTTCGAATAATTACATTTTTTTCTTGAGCGCGGCTATTTTGGGTTTGACTATTAAATAAGATTTGTTAGTAAACAACAAAGGTTTTTCATATAATGTTCATCTTTTTGTTTAGAAGCTGGTAGAATTTTAATGAATTGTGAACTGGAATTTTTTGACAAATGTGTTGAGTACCAAAGTATAATAAAATGTCTTCTCTTCCATATTAGTTGAAATAGGAAGTAATTTGTTTTAATGTATTTGTTTGAAACGAAGCGAGGGACGGTAATTAATCGAAATATGAAATAAAGAATGTCCAATTGAATCAAAAGAATGTACCAATTCGTTTGCACTTTGTAGACCGGGCATTGTGAGCATTGGTGGAATATTTGAATCGGTTTGTACGACTTTCCAATTATCACGAACACTGTCTTCCACATCATCCTCTGGCGATGTCTAAAAAGTTAATAAAAATCAATTTGTAAATGAGACAAGCACCTCACAAACAATGAAATATGCCAAATGCACCAAATGCACAAAACTTACTTGCACCGATAACGCTTGGAAGTCGGTTTGAAGATTTGTTTCTATATTTGAGGCAGTCATTGAACTATCTATACATTGAATCGGAAACCATACAAAGCAAAATATTGTTTAGAAAATTCACGCCATATGAAATATGAGATAAGAGGTCGGTAAATCTATTTACCAGTGTTCGATGGAGTGACGATCGTTGTTTCTGTGTTAGTTGTTGATACCGTATTTGAAACTATTTCATCAAACATACTCGGAGCATCATTTTGGAAGTATTCACTTAGATTTAGATTTGGGCCGCTCATTTCTTATCTACAAAGCTGCTTTTTTGCTTTTTTTGTTGATTCCGTTTTTATAGTATTTTTGTTTCCCAGATAGATAAAGAGTAGGTTTTCTACTCTTTCTACTATTGACATCCGTATGTGTGCGAGCTGACAACCAATCATGTGTCAACTGTCACAGCAGCAACTATTATGGAGAGATTCTCATTTTTCAGTTAAACGAAGAATGTAGGATTTTTTTTGTTAAATCAATTTTTTATGAGATTTTCAAATGTTTTGCTTGTTACATTGAAACGGTGAATTATTTGAAAAGAAAGAACAAAAAAAATACCACGGTCTAAAACAATATTTTTGAAAGTTATAAAAGTCTCCATTAGTTTTGTAGAGTTGAATTTGGTGTTTTATTTTTCGAATGATTCATTCAGAATTGACGAACAACATTGTGTCAAAACATCAAACAAATTATACCAAGTTTGACTTGAGTCAAGTGCAACAATTCATTTTCTAATGCAATTCTCAATTGTTCAAATTTTGGTTGAAATTTAAGCGCCGATATTTTTAATTACAATAATATTTAAGTTGTAAAGAGCCAAAATGTTGCTCAAAGTTCTCATTTTTGTATTGTTACCGGCAGGATTTCTGCTCTTTGAAGCAAGTCCAACAATTGATAAGACCAAACATCGTGTAAAATGCGATCATATGATAACCAATTTCACTAATGCAAGCGCTGGTTTTACAAGTTGTGTTATGAAACACACTGAAAATGCTACTTTCTGCCTAAATTGTGTCGAACAGTATTCGCAAACATTATTTTTTTACGACAAATTGTTAAATGGAGTTGAAAATGTGAGCAATGTAGAAAGACCTTGTCGTTCTCGCTTTTTCGAAAGCAATCAATTGCATATATTCGAAAAAATGAAAGCGAATATAGAACAGTTTTGGACGATTGGTTTTTGTGCAGGTGACATTTTCATTTTTCATCATACATCAGATTTTTATTCCAATTCAAACAAATATGTTACGCCTACTTTTTCACAGATTGCTTTGATGCTGGTTGTGACTTCTACAATCAAACGGATTGTCCTCATTCAAATCATACAGAAAAAATCATTCAGCTTCATTATGAAACGGATATGTGTATAAATGGAACAGAGCGTAATACGACTTGCACCGAATGCGCAGAGAAATATAAAATTTTTACTGACTACTACAACGATATCCGACTGAAAACTGGCGACAAATTCTGTTTTGCTATAAAAGATATGGTAAGTATAAGATATATTGATAATATTGATTCAATTTCCGTTCATTCTTTAAAAAAAAAAATCTATTTCAGATGAACAAAACACAGATTCGATGGTCAAAAGAGTTGGGTTGCTGTGATCATCGAAAATCATCACTGTTGGATTTCTTTACTTTGTCTGGTTCATCAATATTTGTATCAGTTTTATTTTACATATCGATCTATTTGTATGGATTACGAAGTGAGCGCATACAGTGTATTCCGGACGATTTAATGCCACAAAATCGCGAAGATGATCAATCAAATGGAACAATTATGAATATAAACAACGAAGAACCGTCAACATCAGAATTACTACTTGAAAGTGATTCAAAAATTGCCAAATTAATAAGCGAATCTGCCGACTCGTCATCCAGTGACGACGAACCGTTACCGATTAGCAATCCGAATTTAAGTCAAATCTGAATGCAAAACATGTTCATAAAAGATGTAAGCTAAGGCCTTAAACTTCGGTAAACTCATGACAAAAATGTGATTTGTTTTAATATGATCTATTTTTATCTACCAAAAAATATTATTTTTTATAAATAAACTCAGTTTTAAATCGAATAAGACGATTTCTGGAGTTGTTGCCTTTTTTTGTCTGTGCTGCATTATTTTTGTTTACATAAATGTTAACGAAAGTCAAATGTGGACTCTTCTGTCAAGACAAAGTTGTCAAAAAACTGAACGAACATAAACATACAACGACACACGCAAAATACTACAACCAGAGTGCCAACCGATAAACGACAGCGTCATCGCATGTATAAAATACACTAACACTGTATCGCACCCATACAATGATGCGTGCAATAACATCATGACCAAATGTAAATGGATGCGTAGAATGCGAGCATTGTATGTGTGAGTGTGCCCCTTCAGCATATTTGTTTTCTTGCTTCTATCTCTCTATCGCTTATATCACATATACGAATGAGTCGACACAATCATGCGCAAACAAAAATTTCTATAAAACATTGCATTGCAAATGGCGTATTAAACAAGAGGCTCTTCGTTGCTGTCTCCATTAAAATAAATCGTGTATTTTGATAAACAATACGTATTTATCAATAAATTTTATGTGCAATTGTTTTTAACATTGACCATTTCAACGAGGTATATGAAATATTTTGGTGTTTATTGAATTAAATGGTGTTTTAACGCGAAAAATACGAATTTTACCAATGAGCATAAGAAAGAAGGGAAAAAATTTGTTGTAAAAATTCAAGATTTTGTTGAAAATGAAGAAAAAAAAAATTTAATAATAAACTTGGCTGAATTTTTGCTAAATTTTCAAAATCAAAATGATTTTTCTTTTGTACTAATTCGATTCTGTTTGTTAAATCATATTGGAATGCATTAAAATTTATCGGTAGTAAATATTTCGCGCGTAATTTTTCTTGAATCGTTCACAGCAAATATGCGTTCTATCATCTCATCGACTCTGTGGTTCAAGCAAAACTGAACAACGCTACTCGCTTTAACGAGGTTCGAATGAAAAAAAAAAAAACAACAACCAACCAAACGAAAACACTTCTCATATATAGTGTGTAGTGTGAACACCAAAACATTCAATATCTAGATAGAGAATGAGTGAGAGACGATGGGTTTTGTATTAGTTGCGTACACTCCACTTTTAAATACGTAAAAATTCAACAATCTACCGCTATGACTCTTGGTTGACAGAATAAAAAAATATATAATAATAATACATCAAAACACAATAGGAAAAAAACCAAAACAAAACAATAATTACTCGGTGCGAGTTTGAATGATTGTCGTCTTTTTGATTCTATACATGTTGCATTATTTTCAAGTGTATTTAAATGACCGTTTCATACATATGGGCAATAGTATGCAATTTTATGCGTTTTGTCATATTAAATGTTTCATTATATGCAGTTTATCGGCACGATGAACAAATGAGCCCGATTTTTTTTTTCGTTTCTTCCACTTTCGACCGTACGAAATTGACATTTAATTAAATATTAAAAAATAAAATTCTGGAAAAATTCTTTTGAATTGCACCAAATAAATAATGCACGGAATTTCAAACTATGTTTTGGCGCCAAGAAATCGAAAAACATTTTGAGTCCGTTTCTAAGCAAAAATCATTACCATTTATTTTTCTTCGACGTATAAAGCACCGAACATTTCATGATGAAAATTTAAAATTTGAAAAAAAATTAACAATTAATAAATGAATCGATTTGTTCAACAGGTGTAAGAATTTGCATGGCCGAATATTGTGCGGCATCATGAATGACATTGGCGGAAGTAATAATATAGCTGTCCCGGGTCCATCAGCGTGGGATCAATTGACATCATCATCAGCTTATTCACAAAACAACAATGATGCAAATGCATCAGCACCAACGACACCAACAAAGACAACGCCAAATGAGCCAGCACCAATGTTCACTGCGAATGAAGAATTGCATCCCGATTTGGTGTTGCAAGGATGGCGAAAATGTTGGTCAAAACGTGAAAATCGTCATTATTTTTGGAATAAATCGTCGGGTGAATCGTTATGGGAAATGCCACGACATTTTGATCCATTAACCGATCCGCTTGGTATTTGTTCGGGTGGCACACCAGCGCCACATAATTCGACGGCGCTAAAACGACGACCATCAGAAGATACCCAAGGACCGCCAATGAAACGATTCATTTTAGCGGGTCCATGGGATTTGGAAGTGTGTTCAAACGTAATTATCGTTGAACGACCGCCCACACTATTTCCACATCCATATCCAGAAGTTGAGGCAATGCGAGCTGCATACACAATTCGTTTAATAAAAACATACGAAGATTTATGCAATCGTCGTGAAAATATCAAAGCACCACGTGAATCGTTTATGCGTTGGCTTATGGAACGTAAAGTGATCGATCGTGGTTTTGATCCACTATTGCCAAGCCATTGTCATCCGGAAATTTCGTCATCAATGTATCGTGAAATTATGAATGATATCCCATTGAAAATAGTAAAGCCAAAATTTACGGGCGATGCACGAAAACAATTATCAAAATACGCCGAGGCAGCAAAGAATTTAATTGAAATTCGATCAGCACCGGCCGAGAGTAAGAAAGTTGTTAAGTGGAATGCTGAGGAAACGTTTCAATGGCTTCGGCGTACGGTCGGCGCAAGCTATGAGGATTTTCAAGACAGATTGGCTCATTTGAAGCGACAATGTGAACCACATCTGGTTGCAACAGTTAAAGGAAGTGTAGAACAATTATGCTCCAAAATTTATCATTTGTAAGTGATTTTTTCTTTCTCTTGCGACAAAAGTTTGGATGAATAAAATTTCATTTTAACGATTTAGATCGGCCGAACATGCGCGAAAAATTCGCGAACGACACATGCAATTGCTGAAAGATAATGGAATTCCGCCGCCACAACCACCTCCAGCGCCACCAATTCTACGCAAAGTATGGTGCTATCCCATTCAGTTTGTGATACCTCCGCTACGAATGCCCGTTATCGAATACATTCATGAACGTGATCATATGGTCATTAAATATTCACATGCTTCCATGCCTCAACCTGATACACAGTACATTAATTTGACGCATCTACAGAAATTAGAACAATTGTACCGGTAAGCTCATTTTTTTTATTATCTATTAAGGTGTCTGAACACTTGTCATTAATTAAACAAATCCGTTCATATCAAAATGATTAAAATCTTTCCCATTGATGAATAACATTTGATATCGTTTGTTTACAGGTACAATTGCTATGATGATAAGAAATTTGATCTCTTCATCGGCCGCGTTTGGTGTTTACTGAGGCGATATCAAACATTTCTCGGCAACATAACTGGCTCAACAAATGAAGCTGAGCTCACACAATCAGCGCTTCCGGTCAGCGTATTCGAATGTTTGCATCGCCATTTTGGCGTTACATTTGAATGTTTTGCCAGCCCATTGAATAGTTACTTTAGACAATATTGCTCAGCATTTAGTGATACTGATTCATACTTTGGCTCGAGAGGGTAAGCACATTTTTTGCAATTTTTCGATATACGACTAATCAGTTCTGTTCTATAGAAAATATGCATCTATTTTGGTGTTGCCTTTCAACTTAATTGACGATTCTTATCATTTATTCACAGGCCATTCTTAGAATTCAAGCCGCTCTCTGGGTCTTTCCAAGCCAATCCACCTATGTGCGAAGAACTCATAGACGCCACACTGCAACAAATTGAACGACTGTTGACAGACTCACAAGAGCCATTGAGGTAAGTGCAAAATTATAACGACAAATTTAATAGATTTTTTTTGTAATAAGGAAAAACTTATCACAATTTGCGTTTGTAGTTTCATCGTTTTTCTTCCGGAAATGAAAGAATCAAATTTGCCATTTATGTCCCGTGTGGAAGAAAGTCATTTCAAACGAAAGTTAGTCGTTGTACCAGGAATGGTGCATGAGTATCGCCACGGATACCAACATGTCATACCAAAGTATGTTTTCAATTTTTCCAATTTTTTCAAGCACAAAAACCAAATCACTTTCTATCAAAATCTGAACTAACTGAAATGTGTTAAACGGCGTTTGTCTTTTTCAGAAGTGAAATTTATATGAAAAATATCCACGGTACGATGGTGGTTTGGCTGCAAAATAATGAGGGATTTTCGCGATGGGGCCCAACAGAGAGTCGTGTCGAAGCCTTATTGGAAGCATTTAGACCAGTTCGAGATAAAGAACGTGATAAAGCACAACAAGATGCAGCAAATGCAACAATTTTAAATCCAGCAACCGAACCAACGGTACGCAGTAGTACCACCGACTGACCAACAAATGCTTTTAAGCTACCGCCAAGCAGCACTTCCACCGGAACAACAACAACAGCACTTGCAACCACAGCAACCATTACAACAGCGACCACATCAACAGCAACAACATTCGCATCATCATCAACAACAACATCATCAGCAACACCAACCACAACTGAATCGAAACCATCAACGGTTCAATAATGATCAATACAACATCTCAATAAGCCTAAAATGATTAAAACAATTTCATTAGTTAAGAATTTCTATGTGTGACGGAAGAGAACATGTATAATATTATTATCGGAGATTTAAAATAAAAAATTGTACATTTTAGCACAATTCGGTGCATCATTTGTGGATTGTGAAACCAATAAACAAATGAAGAAAACTATTGATACTAACTATTGTTGAGTTACTGTAAAATCAATCCAAAATTTTATTGCTATATTTTAAGGCGAGAGAGAGAGAGAAACAAAAGGAATAAACATTATTTGTTTCTTTTATGTGTAAGATAAAATAATTGAATAATTTCATTTCGCATAGCTGAATTAAATAATTTTTAAGAACGACAAAAAATAATAATAATAATAATAATAATAATAAAAAAAATAATGTAAATGCAAAAATAAAATCAAGTCAAAATAGTCAATGTTACATTTTTTTTATTCACGAAAAATGTTGGACAAGTTCAATTTTTCCTTTTTATTTTTTTTCTTGCATTCAGTAATATAAGACGATAATTATAGCTTCTTAAAAGAGCCCAAATCCAGCATTAAGCTTGTAGCAAAAGTTTCATGGATAAAGTCGGTGACGCTGAATGTGAAATCAGATTTCTATCTAACATTATGCGATAAACAAATGACGCACTTTAGTAAACTTTCAGGCGATTTTTTTTGATATTCAAGCGCAATAAATATCGAAAAGTACAACCTTTTCTATTTTGATTTTGAACATTGGTTTTTACGGATTTGGTTTCATTTTTTGGTCATAATCAAGTTTTTGATTTGCTTAAATTTTTCTTGTGTTTTTCAAATGCCTGGCATTTTTGCATTTCGCTTGAATTGTTGAAACACCAGCAACAATATCCATTCAATCGATTAACCAAAATGATCGCCAAATTTAATTTTCTAATAAAATAAATACGCAAATAAAATAAAATTGGTCAACGAAACAAAACATCAATTATTATTCGATGAAATGAAATGAATGAATGATTAATTAAACTAAAAATAGAAATAAAAGACTGACAAAAAAACAAGAATAGAAAAAAAACAGCATCATCGTTTGAAAAGACCATTTTTTAATCTGTCAATGAATCACTTTTATCGCTAATGAATCAGCCTTATTTATTTTTTTTTTAACTCAAAAACTTTCCAAATGCATCAAAAATGCGAAAATGAGACGAAACTTTCAATTCACAAAAAAAAAAAAATCAACAGAAAATTCTCGACATATATCAATGTCTATCGATATTATGCATTCGAAAACAAATTTCTTTGATCAGATTATGAATCATTGATTCTAACCTTAAGCTCTCTCTGTCATCAAATGTTTTTATTTGATTCTACTTTCTCAATAGCTACAACATGTTTGCATCCCAATAAAAAGAAATTATATGCATAAAATGAAAGGTTGTGTGTTTTTACTTTATTCAAATTTCTTCAGAAATTCTATAAAAAGTAATAAAAACCAAATGGATGTGTGCTAAATTTCAAAAATAGGTGAAATGGTTTCACTTTGTCCAGACCGCAAAAAAGAAAGAAATGACACAAATTTCAATTATCCACAATATATTCAATATTTTTTTTTATTGCGAATTGTTGTGTAAATAAAGGTGGCCGTGAATTGTTTGTCCACAAAAGAGATGTAATAAAACATTTGTAGGATACATAAACGAATGAGTGAAACAAAATCAATCGGCCAAACCTTCTTTCTCTTAAATGACTGCGATCAATGGTTTCATTCTCAAATCCGCATTTTTCCCAATCCATAAAATGAAAAAAAAAAAACCAACAGCAACAAAGCTATACAAATAAAGGTTTCTAAACATTTGTGTTCTTACTTGAAACGATCGAGATGGTGATGATCATGGCATTCCATGTGCTTAATTGTATTATTTGGTGCACATATGCGCGCGTCCACTTGTCCACACAAACAAGTGCATATGAAACGGAGAAGAAGAAAAAAGCATACCGACCATGCACAGAAAGAATGAAAAGCGCCAAAGCGAAAGAAATATTTGCGCACCAGTGTAACTATCCATACATACAGTATCCGGGAGATATAGAGTGAAAGACAACCAGTGTGTTTACCAAGTGAAAAAATCAATCGCGGCATAAATTCTAAATCTCAGCACATATAGGCGGAATGAATGAGCCAGCGAACGATAGCCGTATTCAAAGAACGATGAAAATGGGATCAACGCAAAGTAGATTTCATTCCAAAATGAAAAATATTATCGCATATTTCGATTGAAACCTATTTTATATTCGAACGTGCGGTGCACTGTCGTTCAGGCATACACACGCGCCGTGTTTGTGTAGCTTGTTTTTTTTTATTATATCGATTGATTCCTTATATTGTGCGCTTTACACGCGGCACAGTTTATTGAAACAAATCCACCGATTAAAATGGAAACCTTCCATCGTGGATAAGTAGCTTAAAAAAGCAATTGGCCAAATGCAACGATGATGAAAACTGATTTATTAATGAAAAAGGTATTTCAATAAATAATAAATTAAAATTCGTTTCTTTCGTTTTATTTCAATCAAAGGCCGCGCTGACCATTGTCGACGTCGGTCAATACACTCGTCTGTAAGAAGTCGATTCAAATGTATTTTAGCCATTTTTTTTTATTAAACTTAAATTGAATAACGACACATGTCTGCGTCAATATAATAATATATTAATTGTAACATAAATCATATAAATGGTCACGAGAGAAAGACATGCTCGTACATACAGATCGGTATCGCGAATCGCAATGTGTGTTATTGGAAAATTGTTACATAAAAAAACAACAACATATACTTGGTGCCTTGCTTGGTGCGCACACAAATTTTTACCATTTGCTCTCGCGCACTGCTAGCCTGGATTTCTAAGCAGAATACAATTTTCTCTGTGCTTCTAAAACTTGCTCTCGGTTTATTATTGCAACTCTTTATTGCATCGGACGTACAAACACACTTAATCCACATACATAATAATCTGCGGTGATTTCTATGTTTACATTGCGAGCTCAGCAATTTAGATCGCACAATTCCTTTCGATTGTTATTCAGTAACTTAATACGATTTTTAGCGGTGTATTTTGTTTTTGTTGGAAACCATTTCACAGATAAACTATATCATTTTTAAGGTGCTTGGAAATAATAACACTTTTTGTTGACTTTTAAATAGAACCACTACAAACTGAAATATTTAGAATTTTACGGTGGCATATCTTATTTGGATCATCAATGATCTAGATTTCTGTGAGAGAATTTAATCAAGAGAAATGAGCTCGTCCCATTAAAATTCAAATGAAAGACTATGATTTTTGTGCCAAATTATAGTGGACATAGGAGTTTTTTCACTTCGTAGAATTTATAGTCAGATATACAAAGAAAACATGTCTTTGTTTTGAAGGGGTGAATCTGCAAGATAACTAAAAATTCTAATTCGTTGCACATTTGGTGAAAAGAATATGATTTTATTTTATTTATTTTTTTAAATTATTTTTTTTTTAAATCGTTTTCTAGAAATAAAAAACATGGTTGCATAAGTGTGGCAACGCATGTAACCGAATAGCTTCCTATAAGTAAAACTTGCTCCACATTCCTATCCGACGAACAGTTGAACTGATTCGTTTATAAACTCAAATAGACAGGAATGCATTTTTAAGGGAAATCGTGTTGTCGCGTCAATAATTAATATATTTTGTTTTATTTCAAAAATTTTAAATCAATTGTGAGCTATGACGTCTGTCTGTTATGGCACTTAAAAATTGTGTAAATCATTGGATTTCATTTGGTATCCGAACTGAAAAAATGCCAAAACTCTCTCAAATCAATGATTTAACTAAAGCGGTTGATATTTAATTTAAATGATTCAAAAAAAATGTAAAGTATCCAAAAGACGACATTTTAATTTGTTGAAAATATTTTGATTCGTACATTATGAATATATGATTGTCCCGAGTAAATCTGGCGCAAACTTTCTACAAATTATCGATTTGTTAGCCAAAAATGTGAAACAATCGAAAATGTTGTCGGCTCCAAAAAGAAATGTTAGTGATCATTTTATTTTCAAATTACTTCTCGAAACCGATTCGATGCCATGCATTCCGCAAGACAAAAAAACACCATTCGAATTATATGCATTGAAAGTATTATTAATTACATTGAAAATAGTTTCATCAATTTCGAAAATTTAGCATTTGGAAGTTTTTGGAAAAAGAGATTTTAGCCATTAACCCTTAACCGGTCAGGTCGGGTCTCTGAGGCCCGGTAGCGCATTCTTTAAAAAAAAAGATACATAAAATCGCATAAAATATTATTTTAATCAAACAAATTAATTTGTAATATATTCTTTCTTCTTCCTACTAATCGTTGATAAAAGTTGTTTTGAATTTGGTTCCCTAAGTAGCGCTGTATTGAGGTTTGAACAACTACCAGATGTACATTTTCCATACAAAATGTCATCAAATTTTTTAAAATGAAGTGCAAAATTTGTACTAAACAACTACTGAACTGAAACTTAAATTCATCCGATTCGGAATAAATATTGATTATTTTTTCATTTTTTCAGTTATATTTTACAAAAACATATTTAATTCAATATCTATTATGTTAAAACAATAATTTTTGTCGTATAAATTCAATGAAATTTGAAAAAAGAAAAAAAATTTCATTGAATTTGCATGGAAAATGTAAGTCGGGCCTCAGAGACCCCACTTGCCCGATAACGTTAGGATTTTGACCTGCCCGGTTAAGGGTTAAATATGTTTTTTTTTTTAATTCTCATACAACATTAAAAAAATCCTTGGATTTCGCGTTCACAGTGGAATTTAATAAAGTCCCATCCTCGGGTTTACCATGATGACAGTCTGTACTGTAAGAAGCAGTTTTGACAATACCAAAGTATACATCATGATTCATGAAGTATCCATTCAACATTCCAATTGTATAATACTATTCGTGACCATTTATATGGTGAGAATTCTGACCGAGAATTATACTGTACTTTCTCATTTGTTGCAAAGAATTTGAGTATTTTCTCATCATCATTTCTCCATTACATTCATTAACATAAACATTCCGTTTTTAGGCTTCCGATTGGGTGAAATGATCAGCCTCTTCTGTCACCAAAATGCCAAATCTAATGAATACTTTTTTCCATTTTTTCTTTCTCTCTGCGTATGCCTTTGAATACAAAAAAAAAACATCCGAATAGATAGATGTCCCGTTAAATCTGGTGAAAAGAGTTTTGATTGTGTCCAAAGCTGAACAAACAAACAAACGAGCAAGAAGCAAATATAAAAAAACTACACAGAGAGTTATAGATTTGAATATTGTGCATAAATTGTGATGCAAATGCCCCTCTTTTAATATTTGATTTGCAATCGGAATCGATGGCAGGTTTGAATGTTGGCAAAGTTGATAACCTGTTTGCAGCCAGATGTATGAGAAAAAGTGTGCGAATCGAAATAGAAAGAGAAAAAGAGCGCGAACGAGAGAGCGGACAGAAAGTGAGAATAAAGAGAGCAAGCGAAAAAAAAGCAGCACAACACACCGTACACATAAGCTGTGAGAGAGCCAAAGCGAAAGAAACCCATCATGAGTAAATGGCAAGAGCAACAGCAGTAACGACGACGACGACAGTAGACACCAGCCAAAGCGAATGAGATACAAGTGGAGTGGGTAAATCATCAGGAATGAATTGCGGCAGCCGCATTCAAAAACATTTACTCGATTTTCATTCACGATTCGCGTGTGTGTCAGTAACGTTTACTGCTTTTTTTGTTTTTGCTTTGAAACGCACATTTCAAATCCATTTTTTTTTTCGAAATTACCGTTGATATCAAAAACTTTACTTTTGATAAACGGGTTATTCATTTAAAGAAAAAAAAATTTTTATTGGTAATATTCTTTAAACAACATCAATGAAAACAAAAATTGTCTCTTTTATTTTATTTTTAATTATCAAGTGATTTTTAATGGTAGAGTTTTGTGAAATCGGTTTATGAAAGAAGCGAAAAAATAATAATAATACTGTGCATATTAAAAAAAACTCGTGATTGAATTTCGAATGGTTTTAAATATTGTGGATGCAATTTTCCATCTCATATGGATGAGATATTAAATGTGGATAATAGCACATGTTTTTTTATCGACCAGTTGGGAAATTGCATGGATTAACTTCGCCCCAGCGAAAGCAAATATGATTTAAACGTTTGGTTAATGAATCGCTAAAAGACATTCGAAAACAGCAAAAAATTAATACAAACAAATGAAATGAAAGAGATAAATAGTGTTGACAAGTGCTAAACGATTTTAAAAGTGTATTTGCTTCCTCGGAACGTAAAGGAAGAAAGAAAAGAAGAGGGCTAAAAAAAAATTATCTGAAAACAAATGAGAGAAAGGCTAATTAATATATTTTGTTTTTGGAATCAAATGCAAATCAAAGCGATTTTTAATATGATTCGAGTGCTTTTTTTTCAAATTGCCTGTCACAATGCATCATGGTGAAACAAATCCAAACCGTTTGAAAATGTAGAGAGCGAAAAAAAAGAAGTCGACAAGAAGAAAAAAAAATTGCAACCAAAAATGGAAAAAGCTTATAATTATATCGGCAAAAGTGATCTGTGAATATCAGTATTATTCGATGTAGTATGTGTGCTTCAATTTTAAAACGTGTGATTATGCAGACGCCAAATACACATTGGATTTACGATGATGACGATGAAAAAAAAATTGGTTTTATATTTGGTGATCGGTATTTGAGGTTTATTTTTTTATATGAATTGGCGACATGAAATGATTTTCATCGCCATAAATCTCTTGGGCACGAAAAAAGAAGAAACAAACCACGTCAATGGGCATAAGACCACCACACAATCTAATAGTTTTTTTTGTTGTGTTTGTGTCTTTCTTCACTCTCCCAAATTGAGCACACCGACAAAATGATTCTGAGACGGCATTTCTCTTTCAGCACCAAAATCATTTCAACTGTCCCGTTTATTTTTGATTTTGCAAAAATTCATTGCAATCGAATTAGGATTAATCACGATATCGTTTTCAAAACGATTTTCAACAAGTTACCGCAATGCTTATACTTATATAAAAAAAATACACCAATACGAAGACCGAACTATTGATCAGAAATATTCGGCATTCTTGGCTTGATATCATCGCTTGGTTCACCCATTGAGAGAGCGCAGCTCGTTGATTTCGTTTCGCTTGTTTTGACTTTATTTGTTTGGTACGAGTGTTTCTATCGCGCGATTTCAACCAGAGGGTTTAGAATTCGAAATGAAATCATGATAGTTATCGTTTACAAACATAATATTCAATGTATGGCTAAATATTCGATCGATGGATTCATACAACATTTTTGCTGTTGCTGTTGTTATTATTATTGCGATGCGAGATCAAAATATGTAAACGGTGGTGTATTTACTGATTGTGCCGATAAATAGGCAAATCTCTTTCATGCAGTGAACCGAAAGTATGTGTGTGTATGTGCTTTTTTTGCACGAACCAGATGATATGAAATCCATTTGTTAAGATATCAACATCTTCACTGCGCTCATAACCAATTCACCTGTGATATCGAATATGTATGGTTGTGCGCGCGTGCGACCGCACTGTTGTTAATTTATTATCTCGCAATTTAATGTATTTTATTTCTTGATTTGCTTCTGGTTCCTATTCGTGCTGTCGTCGCGGCCATACTCTCTCATCGATATTATTATGATTTGGCACTTTTAATAATCGTACATAATACACCATTGCTTTATGATTTTATGTTCAATTTGTCGGCCGAGATCCGTTACATCGTTCATACTTCATCAGCAACAAAAAATTGATATTTTTACGGCTTCGTCATATGTATGATCGGTACACATTTCGTTCTTCTTTTTCATTTTGATCGCTGATGCCTTCCAGAAATCATTATAAACTGGTATGCTCATAATAATCGCTAGTTTCTATTGTATTCTAAATTCAAATTAATTTGGCGGTGTTGATGTGTTTTGAGACGAAACAGTTTTGATTTTTTTTTTCTTTCAATTCATTGAATGGAATTTACAAAATGATTTTATGTCTCTCTCGACAAACAAAAGCCAATGGTGTTGTAGCAAATCGACCAAACACTTAATTTATGATAAAAAAAAGATATTTAGGTTAGCAGCATTTAAATCGATCGAAATAACAGAAGAAGAAAAAATCTAACGGGTGTTGTGATCGAACAACATCAAACAAAAGTAATTTAATATGGATAAATCACATGCGATCGAAAAAGATACGAAAAAAATGAATAGTTTGCCACAAACAGCTTATTCCATCGACCAGTGACATAATTTTTTGAAGGTGGTGTTGGTGGTATTTTTTCTTTATTTTGAATTCACCGTTTATTTTTCCTCTGCGATCAAGTTCTTATCAGTGGTTTATCGTGCATTTTGAATCTACGATTATATCAGAGCATTTTTTCATGCTCTTTTTATTTTGTTAACTTCGAAATTCGCATAGATTAAATTTGTATGATTGCATTTCAATATTTCCCATTTAAAAACCACAGACTCGAAATATCAAATTGAATAAAAAAAGACGAAGACTCACATTGACGATTATGGGATAATAATATAAAATCAGCATGCCCATCATGCAATCAAAAGCAACAAAACATTTAACTGGCCAAAATATCAAAAGTTAGGCATTCAAAAATCGCAGAGCCACATACATATCCATTTCAAAACTGAAAATAAACTCGAATGCGACGACACAACAAAGAGAGACCAGCCGTTGTAAATGCTCCGCAAATGGAATCTCAACGAAATTGGTTGAAAATGACTTGATCTCGCTTTTCAAAACAAAAAATCAATTACCACCATCGCAACATTGCAACCGTGGTTATTTCTTCGTTGCCGTCATAGTAGTTGAATTCAAAAGTAAACGACCACACTTTGATATATTTGAAATACTACAAACGAAAATGTACACAAATAAAAGCAGGATTGTTTGTTGTTGGTCGCGCTGTGTGTTGATTTCGAGCGCATTTTGTTTTTATTTTTGGTGTGCACGTAATGCTGTTAAATGCGTTATGTAAAAAAAACAAGGCATCAAAAACGCGATACAGTCAAAAACTGGCCAGCCATGCACGCGTTCATTCGTTTGCTTGCCTCAAAGACTTATGGACAAGAAATGATCGAGTCGAAAATGAAACAAAGCCAATCGTAATAAAAGGAGAGAGAAAAAAATTATTACATTTGTGTGTAGAAATCGAGAGAAACGTACAGACAGAGTAAGTGTGTGTGTGTGAAGGAGATAGAGACAAAAAGAGATAGAAGAAATATGTTGATACGAAAACTGTCATTTTGGCTTGAATATCTCGTTTTTGGCCATTATATACATTTTCTATATTTATGTTTGCGTGTGTACCTTCGGAATTCGAAATGGTGAAATGACCGAATGCAATTCGACCGAATGTATCTACCTTAATGATTCAATCGATCTCGGCAAAATGAAAACAAACCCAAGAGAGAAGAGAAAAATATACAAATCCAACTTTTGAACGAAAAAATAAATAAATATGCAGTATTTTTCGTTGATGTCGTATTGAGCATGATGCGAACGCATATTAAAAACGCACCAACAGCACCAAACGTGCATTTGACCAGCAACAGAGAGATGCCAAATTGAAAATGACCAAAAAAGAGAGATAACAGCGATTTTAATTCCAACTCCATTTCTGAGAGTGTTGGCCTTTTTTTCGTAAACCTTCATTCATCATTGAAAACTTCATATATGCACAACCAAATTCGATGCCGTTGCCATAACTGCCAGGCGATCGATATACATATTGAAAATTTTGTGCTGTTTCACATGCACAAATGTATTTTGAACGAAAATTAAAAAAAAAATACCAACCCATCAAAACCAGAAATCGAATTCACTGTGCAATCAGAAAAGAAAAAAAAAGATAACAACAACAAGATACAAACACTAAGACCACTGCATACTGCGTTTGCGTTGAATTTTTACGATTATGATTAAAACGTGTTTTAATTTTCATCGATTCGAAACAACTGCAGTACAGTACAGCGACACACACACACACACTCAGTATTTGTGTTGTAATGCACGTGTTTATGGGGTGTGTGTGTGTCTGTTGCTGTGCATAGAGAGAAAATTCAGATCGAGAGAATTTCTCAATGCATATGTAATTAATCCGAAATGGTAAATTTGACCGACATTTTCAAGACAATTTCATTTTAACGAGTGCATCGAGCGCGCGCACACCACCGTTCAACATTCGTTTTGGCCCATTGAAAAATTGATGAAAAAAAGACACCAAATAACAATGTAATCGAAATTCGATTATTCACATTTTATGTGGCCAAGAATTGGTGTTAATTTTCTATAGACCGAGTCTATAGACGTGACGATAGATCGATAAAAAAAAGTGTCGCTTCTTCAGTTTGGAAAAACTTTGCAATCATTTCACTCAACATTCCAAAATGATTTCATGTTGAAAGCTTTTTGAAAGAAAATAAAATTGTGTCGTGGTCGCCAATCACTTTAATGGCATTTCTCACTCAAATCAATTTTTAAGTTGCGTGCTTAAAAATTAGTTGGATCTATCATTTCATCCCATTTGTTTGTTTCCATTCAATTTGATTTGTGAGCGCCGTATGTGTACAAGCTCTCTTGCCAAACGAGAGACAAGAGGTGAATGATAGAAAGATTAGTTTCTCGTTTGTTTGGTTTCGATTAACGGAGCATAATGTGTATTTTTCGTTTCTAGTGTGGCTCACAAGCGTGCGCTCGCGCGTACATGTTGTATTCAGTTCAGAAGAAGCGATTTGAAAAAAAACCGAACCTGAGTCAATCGACATCGGCAAAATCGCATCAAAATGACACACATCATAATGTAAACAGCATCTTATTGCGCACGGATATTTCCCATACCATCACGACGATCGAAGAACGACGAAAAGCATACACACGCACCGCATATACATTTTGAAAAAGAAAACTAATAAGTAGAATGGCAACGTTGGTCGTTTATTTTTATATTTTTTTATTGGTCAGTTGGTGAAAGAATGTGGCACACACAAGTATTCGTTAAATTACTCATTGTGCGCTAAACTTACTAAAAATCGCTTTCCGCTGTCGTCACGCTCATCGTGCATGCATACGATTTATAGAAACTGAATATGCAAAAAAAAAAAACGTTTTATTGATATGTAAGAAATTGCCATGGTGCAGAGTGTTGACAATGTAATAACATCATGTGGTGGGACTTTTTTTTCGGCAGCGCTGGAATGCGCCGTGAATACAATCTCAAGAGGAAAAAATGTCGAAAAATGGTCAATCATTATAAAGAATTTTTAATTCATTTATTCATAAATCTATGCCGCTTTTTTTCGTTGGTAATTTCTCTGGTGTTGATTTGCAATTTATTCAAATATTGCCTTTTTTGTCGATCAAAAGAAATGACTTGAGCTAAAACTTCAATCGTGAATACGATTATGAGGACTGATCGCACTTTCATGGCATCTCTCCCTTTATCGCGCCTCTTTCTTTCTCACCGCTCACAAAGCAAATTGACTTTTTTTTTATTGATTTGACACTAAGCAAATAAAATGTGTTAACAGCCACGAAAAGATTTCTTTCCGCACTCACCTGGTTCATTGTGTACTGGTGCCATTGTCGCCGTCACCATCATCATCATCGTAAGCATCATCATCGATGTTTGTTGTTGTTTGCCATTTTACCATCAACTTTATTTTAAACAGTTGTGTAAATTTACATTACACATTAATTTCCATATCGAAAGCGTACAGTGGCCCGTGTGTACACGTCTTTCTTTCTCTCTTATTTGCTCACACATCTCGTGTGCAATGTATTGAATATATAGTTTGTCAACAATACGAAAATCAATGAAAGCCAGTGGATAAAATGTGGAAACGAGTCGAATCAAAGGCAAAATGAGATAAACACAAAATCAACGACTTTGCGAGACTATATCTCTATAGATATCTCTGTAGTTGGGCTTGCATATATCGGCTGAAAAGTTATTTTCTTTTGTTTTTGTTGCTGGATTTTGTTTCCCAATATCAATATCGCTTGCATACATATCGGTCTACGTTTTGTGTGTTTATTTGTATTAATTACAACCGACCAGGAATAGATGAACACATGCCAAATGAGCGGACAAGCACGCGCACACTCATGATTTCCGCTTTCAAAATTCGAAATGAAAGTATTAAATTAATGCAAAAGTTCGTTTAGGCGGTTAAGCCTGTGTACGAGCTTGCCTCACATCTTTGTTTTTGGACCGAAAATTATTTTCAATTTCGCTGCTGAACGTTGTTTTCAAGCACCATTTATGTCATATACAAAATTATTTGTTTACCTCTTTCTTCGCACAACCAACGATACTATAACATAGTGGTGTGGTGAGTGTGGTTTGAATGCGATCAAATAAAGTTGATAAGAGCATTTTCTTGTGGTTAATTCAATTGAAAGTCGATTGTTTCGTTTGCTTTAAATTTTTATTGCGACTTCGGTTGAATTTCATCTGCAAATAGAAAACATACTTTGATGCCCGATAAAAACAAGCCCATTGAATTTAAACGATTTCCAAATATGAATGAAGTTAATACGATGTTTTGTGGTCAAATAATAATAATTGGCCGTTTCACAAAACAACGAAAAGAAAGCAAGTGGGCCTAATCCAACAAAAAAAAAACATTCAGAATATTGACACCTGTATTCATGCCCCAAATACCAGAGATGTCTATCAATTTTTTTAAAAATATAATTCACATGCGTTGGTCACTCACTTTCAAAATCCACATGATGAACCCGACTGAAATTTGTCACCAAAAGAACATTTGTCAAACTGTATTACCAGCAAAATGAGACTGACTTTGTGTAGAATGAAAAAAAATGTATCCACAATTAAACATTAGTGACAAGTTTCTATTCCGGGTGTAATGCTACGACATCGCTTACATCCCAACGCACATATATTTCTTTCACCTTGCATTGATTGCGAACTCTAGTGCCACAGAAAAAAAAACGATGGTTTTGTGCCAATGTGCATTGCGCAAAATGCATCGCTCAACCTTTTGTAACACATAAAGAAGCGAAGAGAGTCGGATTGAAAATTCAGTACAAAATGTGCATACGAAAATCTATGACAACACAAAACACATGAGCAAGAAAGGCAAAAACAATAACAGCAACGACGGCAACAGAGTCAATGAAAAGGTTGTTTGCAAAGAGAGCCGCGCGCATATATATATATGTGTGTATGTGTGTCTGTTGGAGCTTGCAGGAGGCGAACGCGCACTCGATCAACAACAAGAAAGAAAGTAGAACAAGATTTCTTTGGCATTTTTCAGTTATGTTATTGCATTCGATGCGAGAATGTGTGTTTTTTTTATTATCATATTAAAATACATATGCATTCTAAAAAAAGAGAAGAGAAGTAATATATTTCTGCAAACACATGCACGATGGCATCAATTGAATACTTACACTTTGTATCATAGCATTCTTATTCTCTGGCCGCTGCTGCCACTTTTTTTCTTCTTTTTCTTAATTCAACAAAAATGTTTATTTGAATTGTTCGTCGATTTGTTTACTACTCTCACTTCGTGAGTCGAAATGCAAAAACAATTCAATGGCATATACACACGGCTAATACCGTTTCTTTTTTTTTATAAGCTTCGTTGTCGTCGTCACCACATGTTATAAAGAAAAAATTTCATCATGTTTTTTTTTCTTGTTCAAATTCGTTCGCCTAGACATATGATACGGTCTTGCTATTATGGAAATGTGCGCCGCTTGCGTATATCACGGCATGCAATTGTGCGCGTCTTCGTCTATTTTATATTAATAACTGTTTATTGGCTTATAAAACCAAAGTCAAAATCTATATTTGAATGTGAATCGCAGCTGAATGTGAATCTCATCATCAATGTGAATACCCAATTAAGCAATTCGAATGACCAAGTGACTTATATCACACCCGAGCCTATATGCCAAATCACATTCATCGAAACAAATAATATTGTATATTCAACAATCGATCACACGGTTTACGCACTTTAAAAAGAAACAAACACACATACAAAATGACCGATTAACTAAATATTTGAGCGAAGAGAGAGAGAGAGAAGCGTTAACATTAAATAAATATTCATGAAAACCGGTGGAAAAGAAACGAAGAAGAAGAAGAAAAAAAGAGAAATAAACCAACGGAATTCGCTTTCGTCGCAGTGCAAGATCGAATGTCTTTTCTGTTTCGGCAGGTCATCGCAATCTGTACGATCATTCCGCTCAATTTCTTCTTCCAAACAAAAATTGAATTTACTCGATGAATTTTCTGGTGAAAATCGATTAAATCAATTGATAGTCAGCGTAACTAAACTAACTAAAGCATATTATAGATTGAATGAGTGAAAAAATGGAAGAAAAAAAGACGAGAATAGAAAGATAGACAGAGACGAAGAAAAAAGCTGTTGATTTTATACAATGAACAATGTAATTATATGCTAAATCATGCGATTTCAGCGCTAAAATTGCCGAAAAACGGATCAATTTAGTGAAGAGGCAAAAATTATACGATGGATTTTCTCTCCTCTTTTTCCCACTCGAAGCGAAATCGAAATGGTGTTTGTAATGCTTCATTTTCAAACGGTTTAAAAATCTGTCTTCGCTATGGAAAAAAGTCACCATTTCCGTCTAATGTAATTTTTTTTCTTTCAAAAGTCCATTGAAGAGAAAAAAAAAGGAAGCAAAAATTCTACGAAAAAGAACAACCTTAAAGATAATAAATGACAACCGAATTCAATTTCGATTTAAATTCTTATTCCTTCTCGTCCGATAGGAAGCAAATATACAATCAAACTAAGTGTGTGCTCTTTTTTGCAGCTTTTCTTCTTTCGTAATTTTTTTTCTGTTGGTGGAAAAACAACCGCAAAAAAAAGAATAAGAAAAAAGTAACAAATTTTGAACGAAGAAAAGAAGTTTGAAGAGGAAGTGTGTGTGTAAAGAGAGGAACGCGAATCAAAGTAGACAGATAAACTGAAGATAGACAAAGCGAGAGATAGAGAGACAGTGTGTCGAGTAGTTCGGTACGCCGATAAATTAAGACAATAATGCTGCAACCAAGAATATTGGTTGGCAGTCATCGAACCGATCAACAGACTACGAAATTCAATAATTGTGTGGCAATCAATCGGCGGAATTGCAAAAACACTTCAAAAATGTGGTCACAACATTTTACAAAGTCCACATCAACAAATTTGAATGGATGTGGCATCAATATTAAACGAAGGCAAACAACGGCGAAAAACATTAAATCAACAGCTGCAGCCACCGCCGCCGCTCGACGATTCACATCAACACGAGCATTAAATATCTCGTCGTCACTCCACAACTTAGCCACATTTCTAATATTAGCAATTACATTATACAGCACTACAATATGTATGGCCCAATTATCCGGTGAGTACATGTTTTTAAAAACTTGTTTGATTTTTTCTCTAGATTAAGCTTTTATCTCGTATTTTGATCACAAAATTGTATCACTAACCCCCCTCCCCCCATCTCGTCCCCTCGATATCACCCCGAATATTATTGTGCTGTCACCTTCTACGGTCTTTTGCTCGATTGATATTTTAAATAATTTCATCTTTTTCTTTAAAAATAAGATTTATATTTTTAAACGTTGGTAATGACTGTTGGATACCACGAGCACAATCGAAACAGCATTGAGTCGTTGGTCAGCACAAAAAAAAATTTGTACATTTTTTTCTTACCTTATGTTTACCAATCTCCACGTACTCCCCCATTTGAATTGAAAACTTAATCCAGTTTTTTGAATTAAAATTCCTATAGCCGCCAAATAAAATAATTGTCGTATCCTAAACCAATTTTTCTAATTTTAGTTTAAAATGTTCGTTCACATTGAAGTCGCATAATATTGCTACATTTATAGTTTAACATTCAATTCAAAGTCATAAATTTAATGTTTATAGATTATAGCAAGAGAAATGCCATTTATGCAATCATAAATTAGAATATAAGCCGTTGTTTCCGTGAATTAAAATTGAAAATAATAAGGACACTTAACAAGCCATGTTATGGCTTTGAGTTGTTGTATGTTCGGTGCAACACAATGCAAAAAATTGAGTGGAAGCCAAAGTGCAATTTGTAATTCATTGCGATTTCGAATTGGCATTGGATTGCGTGTGTTACTTTCTATCATTTATCTTACGGTTGCGATTTATCTGCAAACAAAAGGTTGCGTCATTTATTTAGTCTAAAACCATTTTTTTTCTCTGTGTATGCCTGTTCCGAGTTTGTAACTCAACAAAAAACTACCTGAGTAGTTTGATTGAATAAAGTTGTTTCGGTGATTTTACTTTAATTTCAGAGCAAAAAAAAAAAACAATTCGCTTCCGTGCATGGAAATTCACTAACCACAGCACAGAAGAAATAGTCTCAACATCGAAAGCTTATCGAATAAATATTATATGCTGATTAGTGCGTATTTAATAGCGTTAAAGTGATTATTATTATTTTTATGTATTAATGCGGCTCAATTAAACCTTAAACGCACTTAACTAATATCTAATAACACATTGGATCGTTCATGAACACTGTACGGGGTTGCGCTTTTCTCTTGTACACCTCAACTATTTCATCGTTTTTTTTGCCCGATAAAGTTTGTTGATTATTACGTTTGTGCAGTGCAATCGCGCTTTGCCTAAATATCTTGTTTAAACACACGCTCTCACCCAAAGCCAAATATACATGTCGTAATGGAATACCGATTTATTTATATTCATAAATTTTATAACAAATATGCAGCTATAGTGAAAATGTGCACATTTTTCGTACGGGATATTTTGCTATTCGCACTGCATATTCAAAAATACATACATGGTGTAAACAGTCGGATTGCTGACTTTATTTCTCTCTTTATTTCGTATGTGTTTCGTTTTTTTTTTGTTGTTATTGTATTTTTCGTCTTCAATGCAATGAACGGTAGCAATTCACATCATCGCGAAACGAATTTGCTAGTGAAGTGTGTGTGTTCATTTATTTGCAACGCCACTAGTGAATCCAACATCATTTTCTGTCTCTTTCTATTTCTCGTTCTCTCGTAGACGCATAATAGATTTGTTCTCATATTCGAACTTTTTTTTTCTATATAAAAATTGAAGAAGAAGCAATACACTTTGCATTCACAAATATAATATGTTTTGTATTTATGCATCAGCAACACACCGAGAGCAGCAACAACGAAATAAATAGAAGAGAAAAAAAAATAACTTCCATTCGATGCATATTATGTATTCATTTAGATCTTAGCATATATGAGGTTTGAAATGAGGTGTCTTGCAATCACTATCACATCATGATCCAAACACACAGACACTGTCTTCGAAAACGTATATACGTTAATCTAATTGCATACAATTCGCATATAAATAAAGTTGTAATAATTTATAGCCGCATATAATGGAAATGTGAAGAGATCTCTACGGTATGTTTGAATTTATTTGCCTGACGATCACTCTGCGAAAGGTTTATATTTCTATCGTTATTTCGTTGTTGTTGCTACTGCTGCTGCATTTTCGTTAATATTTTTTTGTGTTTCTATTTAAATAATAATAGCGGTAATTCAGAGCTGTTGAAAAGTACGAGAAAAGATCTATTAACAATATTGTAGACGAGACGATGATGTAATGTAATTTGGTGATTGCTTATTTGCTTGCATCCATGCACAGTGCATATACAATCACTCAATTATGCCATTTATTGGGTTTCGTATTCACGTCAGGAAAAATCATTCATACATTTACGAAAATTCTTTAATTTTTATGCGAATTCCTTTCTCAATATTTTCCGCATTCGCTTCTTTTTTTCTATTCAAAAACGTAATCAGACCTTACTGATTAGGCAGCCTTTTTTCCATCTCAATTCAGTTTTTTTTGCAGCTTCCTCCTTCCTTTCAAAGTTTCATCAATGTTCAAAAATTTCTATCACTTCAAGTTCTTAGATACTTTTTTTTGTAAATTTCCATTTAATTTCTATACTTTTTCAAAACAATTTTTCATTTATGTTCGGTAGAAATGGATTTATCAGTGATTTCTGATTCATGTTTCTCCTCCCGGAAATGCAGTGTGACCTGTTTTAGACTCCCAAATGAAGTAGGTCACATTTTCAGAATTATTGATAGAATCTCTGTGTATGATTGGCGGATGACACTAACAACGTCATAAATTAAAAGAAATAGTGTGTCGGGTGTATATGAAACAAAATTGGAAACAAAAGAATTAACAATTGTATTATATGTTCTTGGTAATTTGCCATTTATGATCAAGTTATTGTAGTTCCTGTTGGATGTGGTGTGTCTGTTGGTTTGCATAGTGGAATTGAAAACAGCATTGACAAGTTCGCATGTCATGCAAAGCAAGTGGAATGCATACGGAAAAGCGGAAAAGCCATAAAAAAGCACGGAAAATAATATGAAGAAAGAAAGAAAAAAAAAAACATTGAAATAGAAATGCGATTGAATTACGCTCTGACGCCATAATATTTTCACATCATTAGTCAAATCGTTGTGACCCGTATTCTAGAGTCGCGCCAATGCTCCAATACCATTTGGACTGTGCGGATGCATGTGTGTACTTCCATAGATTTGGTGTGAATATTTTCTGTCACATTTAATGAAAATGTAATAAATGATCGAAGTGAGTTCGGCTCTTTCGTCTTGACATTCATATCTTGTGATTGTACTTTTTTTTTCTTCGTTTTGCCTGTCTGTTCAATTTAAAATGCTATTCAAAATGACTAGCGCCATTGTTCTGGAGCAATTTCCTCGTTCAAGTGTTTTTGTTTATTTTATTTGAACACGTGCGATTCCACATACCACAAGTAAAAAAAAAACATCGGGAAATATCAAATTAACCGAAAACGAAAACACCAAACATTTTATACAAGAAGTGCAATCAAATTGATGAATCAATTATCTGGGATGTTTCGGGTATGGAGAAAGAGAGATATAGAGAGAGCAAACACGAGAGAAGTGTGGTCATTGTTTAACGGTATTAACAATGCACAACAGTCATAAATTTGTCAATATTTTACTTTTCAATGGCCAACTAAGTAATTTCAACAAGCAAGTAATAAATTGAAAACATGCACCACAAGAGGGTGTCCGCATCCAACAAAAACATAATAAGTATTACTAAAAGAGGTCAACAACAGAACATTTTTATAGAATAGTTATGAATGTTTTGTTATTGTTCTCGTTTTTTTTTATTTCTCATTTACACTTGCCACAAAATTGAATACAACAGCCATTGTGAACGATGGCGGCGCTATGAGGATGTTTGATGGATACCACGCGGTTGAAAAATTAAATTCTTCTATTTATTACATTGTATGACTATTTTAAATTGGACGTGGTTGGTAGTTGGTCAAAGTTCTTACTATTAATTTTGCTTTTTTTTTCACACACACACACAGAGTCACAGTCACCACAACCAATTGTTCTTTTTGAATTGAATTTCTTGTGTGGCATGGAAAACGGTGTTTGTGTTTTATTGTAGAATGCATTTAATTAAACTTGATTTCGATGCATTTCCCGCCATTAACGAAACGAATACACACATCAAGTCTCTATTGACATGCACCATGATAATGTCAATGTTGTGTAGAATATATGGGAAACATTGTGCGTATGTGAACCGGAGCGCATATGGATCTCCCCCATTTACGCATTTGTTTGTACCGTCGTCGTCGTCGTCGCCAAATTCAAAATCACACAAACACATACAATCATTTCGTTAGTTAGAACATCAAATGAAAGCGGAGTTCACGTGCAACGGCAAACAAACAAACGACCGACTCGAAATGATAATTTGCACCGCGTAACATAACACGCACACGCTCCACATCCAAGTTGAGGTCGGAAACATATGTTCATATCAAAATACGTGCACACATACCGTTCAATTTATACACTTACTTCAATTGACTTAAGTTGCCATCTCGTTTCCATTGTGTCAGTGTCTTATAAAGTCAGCGCACTTTGTAGAGTATCGTACTTCGAGTGTTGTTATTGCTGTTTTATTGTTTCGATTTTTTTTTGCGCGCCGTATTCAAATTTGTTTGTTTGGCTCCAGAGAGAGAAAGAGAGAGAAACGAGCTCGAGCGCGCAAAAGAGATTTCTCATAGTTTTTGGAATGTTGACACAACGTGATACTATGTACTTTACAAACAATATATCGACAACAGTACTAAATAAAATGGAGAAAGATAAAATAACAACAAAAAGTAGCAAAAGCAAAGAAAACAAATCAACGGGACGAGAATTTAAAATCAAGCAGCCACAGCACCGGTTGTCATGTGTTTAATGGAAATTTTATGTTTTCATTGCAAATATCATCTGAAGAGATGAAGAGAGAAAAAAAAATACGAGAATGCACGCG